GACGATGGTCTGCAGGTCTCGCAGTGCCCGCCAGGCCCCTGACAGTTGACCATAACCTGACGCAATGAGGATGAACGGGATAAAGTCACTTGACCTGTCCGTATTCACGCGTCAAGGCGAATGAGTTGAGAACTGGAGAAACAGAGACAGCGGCCCGGCCGTGACTGGGACAGGTGCGGAAGAGGTTTCTTATGAGGAAGCAGTTTGTCGGGAGATCCGGACTGAGGTATCAGACTGACTGAAGACAGGTCGCAAGCCATGATAGTATTGAATATCGCAAGTCGGGATGAGACAATGACACTGCGAAATGAGTGGGTTTCGATGTATCTTGATGAGTCGAAATGTGCCTCGGGTGAGTGAGAACGGCCAACAATGAGCGAGTCACTCGGTGATTGGCTGTGGAAGCGAGGCTTGATGACTGAGCCATCCTGTTGGACTTGTGTCGCCGCCTCTTGTCATCTCCGCCCAACCAACTTTTCTTCCTTTTCCATCATCCTCCCGCTGTTGCGGAAGCAGGCTGTCTGTCGCCACCCAAATGGAAATTGAGAACCCAACTGAAAGACTCACATTCACGCTCCGAGCCAGACGGAGAGTGCGGGAAAAGTGAGTGAGTGAGTGAGAGCAGAGCCTGGCTGTGGTTCACTGCCTGCGCCCGGGCCAACCCAGAATATCGTCTCGTGGCTTGCGTGAGTGGACCCGCTCAGACGCTTGCAGCCTTAGTAAGCGTTTCCATTGGTTCTGACTGAAGATACCATGCTACTCTGCATCATTCCTTCTTCTACCATTGGCTCGCTAGAGTGGCGGAGTCTGAGAAGGCCAAGACAGCCCTGCCCTCGTGTTCCGATTTTGTCGGACACAGCAGGGATACCCCCTAGTCGTAGGGCCTCCTGTCGGCGCTAGTGCTGCTTGTTATGCCGCTAGCGTCTCCGGGTCCCTTGCACTTTCCCGTCATCTTTGCAATTCTCTCCGGCCACACGTGACTTTTGGCGATGTTTTGAATCGGCGTGAAGTTCGTCCGACTCTGGCTTCACGCACATTGCGTCCGGGCACCCCCCCGACCAACTCATTCCCGCTCTCCTCGGTGTCCCCACGCCCTGAAACCGTCCATCCTCATCACCAACGAGCCCATCAACAACCCCGACATTCACCTTTCGCTCCTCACGGACACCTGAATATTCACAATGGATACCCTTTGCAGTTGCATCTAAATGTTCTTCATGTCGTCACTAAAAAACAACCATTTCTTCCATCGAGAAAACCGAAGCCACCGGCCTCACCAGCCACCCTTCATTCCCTTCCTCCGAACCGCCTGAACCGACTCTTCTCTCCACTCCGACTCCCCCTACTACCAATCGACAACTACTTCTCGTCGCCGACTATCCTCTTCAGTACAGTCTTGCCCTAACATGGACGAACCGGGTTGTGCTTGGCCTTTCTGGAAGTTTGGGATGAAGAGAGAGGATCTCTCCACCAAACTGCAAGACCAGTACAACACGATTCCTTCCAGCATCCAGGACCCCGACGCCTTTCACAATGATGTCTGCGAGATCTCCCACATCGCCGACACCGCCGACGAGTTCCATCGCCTCATGGTTGACCGCAAGGAACAACGCTTGAAGGAACTCAACATGTCTCTTGATCTCGCTGCTGTCGAGATCATTGCGAACCCCAAGCTCGTCGGCACGGCGCAGTGGTCGTACGCTCTGCAGCTCTTCCGAACACGCTCGCTCGACTCCCTGGTGCGACTGTTCTCAAGCTACCTCCCCGACGACTATTCATGCGCGCAAGGCTACTATGCATCTTCCACCGGTACCTCCTTCAGTGATCGATGCAGCTCTCGCACCGCGAGCACCAACCTCAGCAGCCTCGACGACGGTCCCTGTTTCTTTCACGATGATGATGACGACAAGCCCATTATGACGCATGAGCCTTTTCACATTTCGACCTCTATCTCTTCCGCCATCACCACAGATCTCCCTCTGTCTCCTCGCTCCATGACGATGCACTCCGATACCTCTGTGTCGTCCCCAATCGACCATGATCACGACCACAGCTACCACCACAACCTCACGCCCGCGCGAACATTATCCTTTTCTGGATCCGAGTCCGGCCGACTCGAAGAGAGGCGGCTTCAGTGTCTCGATGATGATGACGACGACGAGGAAGAAGATACCTCGCAGTCTGAAGATCCCGATTCTCTGACGACGTCGGTCTCTGATTTAGAAGAGCACCGTTTGACGCGTGAATCTACCGTGGAGGAGGAGCAATCTAGCGAATACACCGACAGCGTCATTGAAGAGGACGACTGCGAAGAAGAGTTCCCGACAACCCAGCTTCCCTTCGACCTCTACGACGACGTGATGGAGTCTTCAGAAACACCAACACCCAAACCAGAAACAACGGCGGCGTCTTACCTTGACAGCAAATCTCCTTTCCGTTCGATACCCCAATCTTTCCGCGCATCCTCACCAAAGATACCCCATCTCCTACGCCGTCGTGACGCCAGCCCCGCAAAGGGCATTAGCAGTAGTAGTATCAGTAGGAGGACTCCCGAAGAATCAGCGTGCCGTATTCAGAAGCCGCAGCCCGACGCCGCACGCGTGCGGGCCTTGGCGGCAAGGGATCGTAGAAGAGGATTGGACTAGCATGCAGGGCGGCCGGGGACGGCGGGCGCTGTATATATGTCCATCAAGTGTACATACAATTGTATCATGAGTTCTAATCCGTTTTCTCAGTTACCTGACCTGCTTCACCCTTCGCTTGTGCGAACGCGCGCGCGCGTACTCAGTTATAGTCGATCATTCTGTCTTCCCGTTTATATGTATCGGTCTGCAGACACGTTTGTTCCATGATAAATATGACTCTCCGTCAGCGCATGGCCTCAAATAACTAATGTTCCAGGGATACGCGTGTTTAAGAAAGACAACAATGTAAGAACCACAACGAAGAAACCACCGCGTGCACGCATCGAAAACGTCGATTCCGCACCCGATTATCTGATCCGTTAAGCATTTCGCGCGACAACGTGATGTCGGTGTCGTGACGGTCTCGGTTTCTCGGTAAGTTCACGTCTTGGGTACAGCCCAACCCGTCTGACAGTGTCAGGTGGCTTGCTTGTATCTTTGCCTTGGGTTGGTGGTGTCGAGTGACCTTGCCTACCCGCCCGACTAGTGTCTAACTCACCTTACCTTTCCTTGCTTTACCTTGCCACGTTTTTATTCCTGCCCTTGCCTTGGGAATATGACGTCATTAGAGAAAGAAGCTCCTGTCTCTATTTATTGTGGTTTATTTTTGGGTCGAAGCTGGGTGTTGATCATGTGCTTCTTCTTTACGAAGTCGTGGGGGCCGGGTTCCCGGTGAGGCTGTTCCTAGCTGCCTGGTAAGTACCAAGTAAGTAGGCAGGGTGCGTGGTTCGTCCTCGAGTCGCGCATCATCCTACGATAGGTAGAACGCGTACTCATCGCTGAGATTTTATTGCCTCGTGGATTTTCAAGACTTGTCGTCTTTGTTCATATCTCATCGTGTTTAATAAGTATAATAAGTACTTTACCTTATTCAAGAGAGATGGTACTCCAACTCAAACGAGCCTCCATCAAATGTGCGGGCTCACTGACTACAGTTCACGGTGTCTCAACTCATGCTGAAGTGCTTTCGTATGAGAAAACACAGGTTATTGATCGGACTAGTTTTGTGTCGCTAGAGACTGAGTTGCCGACATGCTTAGAGCTGGCATTTCAGGGCCGTGCAACGGGAAGTATTACAATTGATTACTTATTGAAAGCTCTGAGATATCAAAGAAATTTTTCGTGTATCTAGAGAAGCACTCAACTCCCTCGGTCAGTGCATATACGTGTCTTCAATCACGCCAATATAGCAAGTAAAGCATGGATATCGGGGAGCCTGTTGTGGAAATACTATCAACTCTTTGCTTGTCGTCCCGAGAAACTAGCTATGACTGGCGCCCGGCCTTAGCAATATTCAAAAGCACGGCACACCGCGGGATGTCCGCGCTCGTTACCACGAGCAGTAAGGTTGAAACTCACCAGAAACCATCCGCGATGGTGCCCGGGGAACACTCCACAGCACCACCGGCTACGGAGCGGGGTCTTGATAATCGGCGGCCTCATATGAAGAGAAACGCCGACGGGACGGATCCAAGTGCCTCGCACCGATCTTGAGAGTCCCCCACCCCTCGACTCCCCAACAACTTTCGCATCCCACCGGGGGTTTTACTCCACCTCACTTAAGCTTGAACTCTCATGCTTAACAACAAACCTTCCCCAATGGTGAGCTGGTTGCCTTCTCGGCTCTCCCTTCTCACAACCCGATAGCTTATTGAAGTTAAGGCCTGGCACATGCTTTACGGTAATCAAAGGAAGTTGCCGAGAGGGTGGAAGGGAATTTACAAGTGCGAATCCAACCCGGAGCGATAAGTACTGCCATGTGAGAAAGCTGTTGAGGGGAAGAGGAAACGCACTCAAGATATTGTCACCTCAGCCCATTCTCATCCCAGCATCTGCACACACGAAGCCGCGCTGGGCTACCAATGGTATCCTGGCCGGATCAGTATTCCTCCCCGGCCAGGAGCAAGATCTGACGAGCCGCATGGCCGTCGGACTTTAGCTTCGTGATGGAATAGACCTAAGTTTGCCTTTGTGAGTAGGATTTGGTTCCGCCTATCTTTTTCAGTCTTCAGTCTTGTTTCGGAAAGTGGGAGTTATCATCTGTCTCTAACGGTAGGGTTTGCATTATACATGTAAAGTCATCTCAAATGCGTTATCACCCTTCAGCTTCGCTCTCGGTACCGTAGAACACCTCAGAATGATGTATAAAAATGCTCAATGGCACGGACGAAGAGTTATATAAAATGTTGCCCTTTGAACCAGTCTTATCACGAGAGCTTGCGCGCTTTCCTACTTGCCACTGTACATCTATCAAAGACACTCGAACTGAATTTCATTCCGACTGCAGTCCGATGCATCAAATTGGGCGCCATCAGCATGGCATCCTACACTCACTCAAGCAAGGGAACACCCGGCCAATCCAAACTCTTCCTCAACCCCGCGGCCCTGAGCCCCGCGGGAGACAGGGCTAACCACACCACGTTCTGGCGAAACCCCAAGGTCGGGAACATCTACCGTAACACTGAGTACATCACTGCTCCGATCACGCAGCCGCTGCTGAATTATTGCGGTCTGACAGAGGATAAGTTTGCTTCGCTCACTGAGCCTATCGAGGTGCTTGATATGTGCTGCGGTGCAGGCGTGGTCTCGGCCTGCATTCAGGAGATGCTGAAGTCAACAGGGCAAGGTGGGAAGGGGCTTGTGAGATTGACTTGCTCTGATTCTAGTGGTGGTCAGATTGAACATGTCAGGGGCCGAGTTGGGAAGGACGGCTGGACGGATACGACGGTGGTCCAGGCGGATATGGCGGTATGTGACAGGCTCCCTCCCAATATGGGTAGTTTAGAGTATCTTTGTACATGGATGGTTGATGTAACAATGGATTCTTTACTGACTACATCAGAGCTTACCATTTGAGTCGAACAGCTTTGACTTCATCGTCGTTGGCATGGCGTTGATGGTTGTCGCTGAACCCTACGCGGGTCTAGCAGGTATGTGCGCCGCCAATGTCTACTGTCAAAGGATACAACACTTTCAAGGAGAAACATCGCTCCCTGGCCTGTCACTGATTTATTAGTAGAACTGTACCGCGTCCTCAAGCCAGGCGGCCGTATCGCGAGTTCGACATGGGCAACGGAAGGTTGGGTCTACGATACCCGCGATGCCGTCGCAAACCTTAGCGTCCCCGGGCAGCAACCGGTGCCATGGCCGCAGAAGTCATGCCATCTGACCGGACTTTGGTCACCTGGCGCATGGGATGATCCCTATTTCGCGGCTGCCATGTATAATGCTTCGGGACTGACTGAGATTGACTCGGAAACTCTGGCCAAGCCTATCACTTTCAGAGATCCTGAGCAATTTTGTATTATTTTTCAGGCGCTGCTTACGGGTACCGTTGAGAGATACTGGTCTGAGGAGCAAAAGGAAAAGTTAAGGCACAAGTTGAAGCCTGTCATTGTTGAGTATTTGGGGAAAAAGTACGGCGGAGGGCCGTTTGAGATTGAGAGGTCTATTGTACTCGTTAGCGGGACGAAGGCAAAAGTGTGAATCCTTTGATATGGCAGTTAGGATAGATGAGAGATTCGGTGTCACAAAGTCTATCCTGCCTGTGCTAGTTGCAGTAAGATCCATGCGAAAGCTCCAAAGCAAGCTACTACTTTCCGAATGATTTGAGTCGTTGACTAGTGAAATTGTACACTTCCCAATCCCGCTAGATGTTCAAATCGTACGAGCATACGTGGATGGCAAAGTTTATGGTAACATATCATCAGGAAGTTCGCAGATCTCGAGGCAAAATGGGTTCAGACAGAAGTCTTATTAGTAGGCCATGGACAAAGCCAGTGGAACTGATGTTGAGAGACGCTGACGACCTCTGGACTAGAGAACTTCATTCCAGCGTAGGAGTGAGAGTACGAGAAGAAACTTGTGCCGATTCTGAAGATTGGTAAGGTGGTTTGAAGGCAACGATAGTGGGCATGCCCTGATTGACTACGGATCTGGAATATGGTCATCACGTCCCAAAACGACAGGTAGTCTTGCAAGCAAAAATGGCTCCCAATACTCAGGCAAGCGCTACGGGAGAATGACCTTTTCAAAGCCAACACAGTCTTCTGAGCAGCTAATGAATTATTATCGAGCCCAATGATACAATGATCGAGCCCAATGATACAATGATCGCGGCTTCGGCAGCTATCTACGCCCGAGTGAAGTTACCGACGCCGATGCTGAGATCTCGGGTACGCTCGCAATACCTGCAGCGATCGATGCCTTGTCCTAGGTGCCAAGCACCTCTTACGTGTCTCTCAGCTGATTCCTCTCCAAATATCGTTACGGCGATATGTTGAGTCAAGGCAAAACTAGAATATTTCCGTAGTCTGGTTTCATCCTGGTGGGCGCTGGCGTTTCTGACTCTGTATGTTTTATGATTTAAGCTTCAACGGCAGCTCTAAAGGCGCTGAGTGGACAGTGCACTCGAGCGAAGAGACCGTGGCTCAGGCCTGAAGAGCAACAACTACCGAATCAACGCGCGCTAAGGGAAAGTTTAATCGAACGTACATGCGAACGATACCCTTTGGTTAGAACCACTGTATCTGGGCCTCTGAGATATCGCGAGTAAGTTGGGCGAGGTTCTTTAGAAACATGAAGAGGTCATCGGCATCACTGACTTGGACTCTGGAGAATGGTCTACATAAGACTTAGAGTGCCCCTGCCCTGGTTTAGAAGTCGTATCCGAACGTTCCCATCTCCATGTTCCCACCAGTTTTCAGTTGACCGTCACTTGACGCAAATTTGACAAACCTATCCGATACACGAAATTGAAGCAAGGCGACAATGCGGCTTCAAGTCCTACTATCTGCTAGCACGATCGCTCTTGGAAGCGTCGGAGCCCTAGGACTGAGTCTTCCTAGGAATTCAGCATTCGCCCTGGCAGCACTGGTATGGGTCTTTTATGAGCTACCTACTGCAAATAATTCACCGCCGTGATCCGTCCAAATCGTGCTAATCAACCTTGCTTAGGCCCCTAGTGTTGCCTTTGCGTCTCCCGCACAATATCTGACGCGAGCAGCAATGAGTCCTCGCGAAGAGGGTTTGAAACTTGAGGATCGTGCGAATCGGGGACCGCCCGGTTGTGGGCGTGATCCAGCCACCTGCCAAAGAGACTAGGCCTCGCGATGGTTCAACGGCGGGGTCTACAACCTCCAAGGTCGACGTGTGAGTGACAGATCTACGAATCGGTCAAAGTGAAACGGTTAAATATATCATGGAGGCACACGAATAGACTATCATTACAGAACATCGCCACTCTTGAATGCTGAGATTGCCTCTTTTCCTCGATGTTTAAGAGGAAAAAAAAGAAACGAGTGTAAAAAAGATGAGAAGTCTAGGATCACGATGTTGACTTTCGTCAACGACTCCACTGAAATTGCCCTTGTTTGGAACGTCGATGTTCCAAATGGCTGCCTGCTGTCGTGACTGCACACGAATAGGAGCCAATGGAAGCCCAAATGTACTTTCACTGGGCTTTCGAGATATGTTGAGGTACTCCAAGAGCTTCCAGCCAATCATTCACAAATATTTGTCATCGCCTGGTCATTTCATGTTAATTAGAAGTGCCGAAGCATGATGGCCATGCGATTAGCTTGGAAACCTCCATCAGGTTGGTCCCATGAAGGCGCAGCACACAAGGCGAGCCCAGAGGCAGACTGCCGCAGAGCCTGACTTTACCCCTCGTCCTTCCCACAAAATTTCGTCAATCTTCCTATAGCAAGATCCTCCCTCTCGTTGGTATTCCCTCGAAAATTTATCTTCTTTTCTCCTGCGTGTCGTCTCAGGGCATGGCTGAATTCTTTGGAGTTGCCGCTGGAGTGGCTGGTTTTGTGTCCCTCATGGTACAGATTGGTGAGGGCGCCAGCAAATTGCGAGCTATCCACGACAATGCGGGCAAGGCTGCGACCGATATCAGCACCCTTATCCGAGAACTTGATCTCTTAACATATGTTATGCAGGATATAATTGCGCATGCTTCTAATCGCAATGATTCTGTGGTTCAACATTGTCAAGCGGATTGCGACCAAGTTGTTCGGGATTTGAAGTCTCTGATCGCGAAGATACCTCCAACATCAAGAAGTACTGTAAAGGCCAACGCGCTCAAGTTCCTTGCTTTCCGAGATTGGAACGAAAATGTGATGGCTTTGCAGCGAAGTATTCAAGGGGCGAAGATCAATATGATTCTGTGCGTGCCATAATCCTTTGAAGATACTTCTGCCGCCTCTCAATCACTAACAGAGTGTCAATGTCAGGATCACGACGTATAGAAACTCGAACCAGCTTAAAGAGTTAACCTTGGTCAGCCAACTTCACACCTTGCCGCCGACAGGAAATCCTCCTGAAGAGTCAGCCTCAGAGCTGGCTCCGGCATCTGCTTCGGACTTATCCCAATCTCCAACCGCCTCCGTTGGCATAGTGCCAAGAAGAGAGAAATTGAGGGCCAAACATAGAGGAAATTGCCTTTTGAGACCATGCTCTTGTGTTTGCCATCGCACGAACAGGACAACACATCGGTTCTGGGCTTTAGAGTATACTCCTTGGGGCGCTTTGCAGCAGAGCTGCGACCTGGAGACCTGCAACACGACAAGATACGGAGCTTCAGTGAGGCTTGCGTTCTCGCAGTTTGGCATTAGATGGGCAGCAGTGCTTGAGGTCTATACTATCACATCCGCAGGCAGGTACTCATTTCGTCCGAATCTCGAAATGGAGCAAATAGTGCCGTACACGTCTCCAGGTTTCGAGATTATATGGAGGTGCCAGACGTACAGCATTGGATTCGAAGAGGCTAGGGAAAGCCTGAGACAGCTCTACAGAGCAGACCCGCAAGGTTTCAGCCGTCACGTGAATCCAGGTGGGAAGTCCTATATCGAGGTGGGTTTGCCAAAGCTTCAGTTACGGCCATATTCTGACAGATGATGGTGATAGGAGATTCTGAGGTATCCGTGGGCAAGGGGAAATGATCAGACTCAATGGGAACTACTGATACTCTTCATGCAAGAGTTCGGAATGACCAAAGGGACTGACAGTGTGCCGTAGGTCAAACTCGTAAACTGGGAGCATGTGAAATGGCTAAGGTCATTGATTCGTCATTACAGGTTTCTTGTGCAATGCGCGCAGTGGATTGGCGAAGGCCCCCACTTTTACTTGCTGGAACTCCTTCTCGATTTGGGTTACGATGTCTCCGGAGTTGTTGGGGATTTTCAAGACTGGCCAGCGCTGTCATCGCCGAACTGGATCTCAGAAGCAATTACCCCAGACCCTTTCTTCATCGAATATTTCAAGATAGTGTGCACACACAACCAAGGTTAGTTCAGTCCTCAGCCTAAAGTATCTCACTGATTTCTGTACTCGAGAGGAATAGCGAGGAAAACGAAGTGGCCCCTAACGTGTGATACGCAGGATTCGCTGGAATGACACCTCTCCACGAAGCTATACTGCTCGAGTCGACACAAACAATAGCCAGGTGGATATCTAAGTCTAAGAAAGACGAAAAGAACAGCTTCGGGCACACACCCCTTCACCTGGCTGTTTCGGATCCTCAACGATTGAAAGCACTCATTGACTCGGGACATGATGTTAACATGACTGATATCCATGGCATCACACCCCTGATGTACGCTGCTGCCATACACCAGGATGAATCCGTCACCCTTTTGATTGAAGCTGGGGCCTGCATCAACGCAGGTGATAAAAAGTATGGGCGTACTTTTCTACACTACGCCGCCGTGCGTGGACATTGGAAGTTCATCTTCAGGTTCCTAGTTCGGCTGGAAGGCTTTGCCGACAATTGGATTGTGGAGGGCTGGGCCGAAAGCGCTGTCTTGTTGTATCACGTCGAATATCACAACCTTGGCAATCTTGAAATGCGCGAGGTTTTTCTCGGGCAGCTTTTGATGAAGTGTCGTACAGCCAACTTGACCTTTGATGAGGTGACTTCTGGCATTAAAGACAATTGTCTGCTACATTACAACACCGGAATCACTGACTTCGAGGCTTTGCTGGAGCAAGGGTTCAGGCTGTTCAACCATACCTTATGAATAGCAAAGGCCAAACCCCTCTGATGGTAGCCGCCGAATTGGGCGAACCTGATCTGGTCAGAAAGCTTGTTGAAGTCGGAGCTGACGTCAATCTCAAAGGCTTGCATCATAGAACAGCCCTACACTTCGCCCTTAGTAGAATGGAGAAGAGCCGAGGCTACGGCTTCAGGATTGCTATGGAGACTTTGCGGATACTGCTGGCCGGAGGCGCGAATGTCTTCACTGTAGATGGCTGCGGATGCCCCTGTTCATCATTTGGCCGTCTCTCGGTAGTTGACTTGCTGAATTCTTCCAGACATTGGTGGCAAGGGACATGGGAGAAGCCTCCAATCGCGGCGATGAAGAGCTTGGAATGTCCCATCTTTGCTTCCAGCATCATTCAGCGGATGGTCTCTATGGCTTTGTTGCTTCATCTCGTCCACTCTGCCTGCAGGATGAAGAAGTGGACGACGTACTCGACGAAGAGTCAGAGTTTCTGGCCATTTTGGAAACTGAGATGGAAGAATCAAGTGCCAAGGACTTTGAGCACCTACTTAAGGACTGGCTCAAGCAGATGAATAGCAGACTTGATAAAGTGGTTGAGGAAAAAAGCAGATCAGATGCTAAATGTGTGAAAGGGTAGGCGGAAGTCAAGGTATGATGAACTCTACCCCAATGTGCCGTCGTGCACCAATACTCATGAATTACCGAACAGCATGGCTACCAGGTGGATTATAAACGCGATTGCTTCTACCACAACTTTGTCGTAGACGTAGACTGGCCAGATCCTACACGAGCAATCAGATCTTCTCTGGCTATGTACTTCGCTTGGATCGAGCATGAATACGATCATGGGGCCACTGCACGCTTGGCTGGACCATTCCACAAGGGCCGGTACTCTACTAGGACCCCAATGGTTCACAAGTTTATCGAAGTCTTCTGCATACCGACAGCAGAGATTGCACACGCTTTGAAGCGCTCGGACGCGACTATCGAGGAAGAACGGTATGGACATGTCAATATTGAGCTGATCATAGAACACTTTCTTCGGCCTGCTTCAAAGTACTAATGGATTGACGATCGTCTTGGAAAGCAACAAACATTCCCGACCCACGGGCTGGCAGAAGTGTTTCCCTTTGAGAGGATCAATCTTTATAACTTTCGTTCATTTTCGGTCCCTTTTGTGAAGTCTGTAATTTGGAAGAAAATGGGTTGTTTGGGTCGAAGAAGATCTGGATAGTACTTTTGGTACTTAGGTACCATATCGCAGCAATACTCAGATTCTTCCAAGGCCATCGTCAACTACAAAATGGGAGACGGTTTTGATGACAGTAGCTGTCTTGGCGATGCCCTATTGCGCCCAACCGTACAGCAAAGAGGTGTAGCCACACATGATTTGCCGAACTCTGATAGCGTGGTTGGCCTCCTGCATTTGCCTTGTTGCTGCATCAAGGCTGCGCTGAGATTTTCACTTGGCTTTTCACTGGTTGTCCTGAGGTTACCCCTCTTCAAGCAGTGCGAGGAGGTGTCTGCTGTTTACTACGTATAATTAGCTTACACTTCTCGCTCAGGATCATGTGCGTCCCTCAACTATCGCCACTCCGCTGTGGCTTAGATAAAATACCCTACATCGGCCAGTCGTCCAGCGTTCAACCCTCCCTCGGTTCTACCCCAGCAGTCATTAATAATCTGAGCAAATTTTACGATGGCGAGTTGGCTGGAAGTCAGAACGCGAGCGGCGGCACCATCGCCAGCCGTAAGGTGCCGATTTGATCTCAAAGGATGTTGCCGCTCGGGGTCTTACTGCCCGTTCATCCATGAAAGGCCCAGAAAGTCGCCTGCATCCGAAAAGGCCGATTCGGCCCTATCTCCAATTATCTGCAAGTTCTTTGCAAACGGCTTCTGCTCCAGAGGCGACAAATGCGCCTTCCCTCACATCTATCAATCCGTGCCGCCTGGCCCATCTCACGAGGTTGTGCTGGAGGACGTGGAGCCCACTGGACCAGCAGCGGAAGACTCCCGCTCCAAGATCGCCTGCGCCTTCTTTGCAAAGGGGCATTGTAGGAATGGCGTCAAGTGCGCATTTTTTCACGATAATGTCCCAAGAGCAGCAGCATCGGCAGCAAGTGAAGTTGCGGTATGTGGAACCTTAGACTCAGCAAGCGACCGAAGATGGATGCTGATTGCCCACTTCTAGCCGCCCGAACCGCAAGAGAAGTGCACACGAGAGCTGCTAGGTGCCTGGGTGAACTTTGGCTCAGGCGCATCCGTCGAAAAGGTCTCGCTCTTCTCCGACTTTTCTACCGCCAGCATTCTCGACCTACCCGCTCGAAGCGATGTTGCAGCAGTATCACGACTCCTGAGTCGGTTGGGGTTCGACAATCCAAGTATCGCCATTCGCGCAAGACCTCAATGCATAGGGGGCTTGATGTGTGCTATCATTCGGGCAGAAGACCCTGACTTTGCACAATCACTCTACGAAAAGTTCAAGAATCCTAAGACCGAAGAAATATCTGGAATACCAGGATTGAAGGTCGAAGTGCACAAGCCTCTAAATCTCGATACCAACAAGGGGTTCACCCACAGAGTAAATCGCAAGAAAGTCATTTGCTCCTGGCACAAACCACAGCAACTGGCTTGCTTGACCTTTGGTTCCGAGTATGCAGAGAGTGAAGTCCGCAGTAAGTTTGGGACTGGGAGATATACTGTACTGGGAGCGAAGGTTTCTTGTGCATCAAGGTCAAACACGCTACATCATCGACAGGGGAGCAGCTTGGGCGTGCGATATCCAGCCAATTCGTCACCGAAGTTGAGACTTTACGTTCCACCACAAGCTACGAAGGACGACATTGTCAGCATGATTCCTCAGAGACAGCGACCCACAAGTGTTAAACTTGAGGGACTGCAGGACCTGGACAATACCAAGAGCGAGATTGACTTGGTTGAAGCTCTACTCGTGGACATCGGACCATTGGAGATGAGACTCACAGCGGACGCAAACTGCGTTGGCAAAAGAGTCAAGGCGATGGCTCGTTTCTCAGACGAGGCAGACGCTATGACCGCGGTCAGGTTGCTTGACTCTAAGCCCTTGCCATTCAACAAGGACGACAAACTCAGCATCATTAGACTTCACTCTGCATCCTACAAGGTCGCGAATCATATCTTCAGTGCGGTTCTTGTGGACTTCGAGAAAACTGCTCAGACTTTCAGCTTGAAAAGAGTCACTTTTAAAAGATTTCCATCGCAACATGGCTATACCACATTGAGACTCGAGAGTGAAAAGGGAGTCGATCTCGCGAGAGCCGAGACTCACACAGACAAGCTTCTCGAAGGACGCTTGGTGTACGATGCTGAAGGCAAGAAGCCCCTCTGGAGTCCATCCTTCAACAACAAATCACTTGCGAATAGACGCCTTCGGCCCATTGAGAGACAGCATAACGTAGCATTCCAATGCGTCCGATCCAAGGCCGAGATCCACGTCTTTGGCTCGTTCGAAGCCTCGCAGAAAGCTTGCGATGCATTGCTTCAGTGTTTCAGCGACAATCCTTCTACGATCCACTACATACCTTTGACCTCTGAGAGTCTGCACTGGGCCATCAGGGGAGGATTCAAGGCTGTCTGCGAAGTCTTGGGTCAAGAAGCTGTATCCCTCAACATTCTTGCGACACCCAAGCGATTGGAGATCATTGGCCCGCGAGCTTCTTTCGACACGGCTATAGATATCTTGGCCAATGGGCGGCTACCTCAGGAACAGGACAAGACAACCGGAGCAGACGAGTGCTGCCCGGTTTGTTGGACAACAGCTGAGAACCCACTGAAAGTTAAATGCGGACATGTGTACTGCCGCGACTGTTTCGAGAACTTTTGCCAATCAATCGTCGGTAACGGAGAATCGGGGATTCGCTGTCTGGCTGACGAGGCGGGTTGCAATGCCTTGTTCTCACTCCAGGAGCTACAAGACTACCTGTCATCGCTCACCTTCGAAGAGCTTCTTGCTTCCGCGGTGACGAGTCATGTCAAAAGTCGCCCGAATGAGTTTCGCTGGTGTCCAACCCCAGACTGCCAAACCATATACAGACCGACATTGCAGGGACCGCCAAAACTCTTCAGCTGTCGAGGATGTTCAAATACCATTTGCTCATCCTGTAACGTCGACCACCGCGGCAAGACCTGCGCCGAACACAAACACATCACTTCAGGAGCAGCTGCAGATGCTGACAGGAATTTCGACAAAGTCAAGAAGCAGCTGGGCATCAAAGATTGTCCTAGATGCAAAACTTCGATTCAAAAGTCGGATGGCTGCAATCACATAACTTGCAGCGCTTGTAAAGCACACATCTGCTGGGTTTGTCTGGAGGCATTCAATGATTCAAAGCCTTGCTATGATCACATGAAAAGAGCACATGGAGGAATCTTCACAGGCGATGCACTTTACGAGGCATGAACTTGAGACGAGAAGAATAGGTCTCAGGTGAGAAGCGAATTAGGGAATTTGTCGCGCATACGGAATATGCTGTTCAACGATATCTTCAGCACGTTCTTGGGCATGTCACGCGAGGTCAGAAATGTGCCAGGAAACGCTTTGTCTATTTTTATATTTTCTAGCCTCATCTTGAACTACTTCTCAGGAAAATATGAAGTTTGTGAGTTCCTTGTCGAATGTCCACGGAGCATTTAGCAGACGGGAACGTTGATGACCTGGCCGACCTGGAGGCTCTCGGGAACGACACCGGGGTTGGCACCAGTCAGGGAGTCGGTGGTGATGCCGAGGCTCTGGGCGACAACGAAGAAGGTGTCACCAGACTTGATGGTGTAGGTGGCAGCGCCGCCGGTAACGCAGGTAGCGGTGCCGGAAGGCTTGATGCAGGAGGTGTTGTCGGGCACGCAGACGTCGACGGGGACAAGGAGGACCTGGCCAGCGTAGATGACGTTGGGGTCGGCGAGCTTGTTCTGCCACGCGATGTCGCAGATACCAGAGTTGTAACGCTGGGCGATGATGGTCAAGGTCTGGCCGGCCTTGACGGTGGTCTTGTGGAAGTTGCCGAGCTTGCCGCAGGTGGCGGAGGGAGCGGCGGCAGCGGTGGTGGAGGTGGCAGTCTAGGAGGTTGTATTAGCGCTGGTGTCTTTTCAAGTCGAGACTAGCTCGGCAGATTACTTACGGGAAGAGCAGCAGCGAAGCTGGCAGCAGCGGCGATGACGGTGAAGATGGAGAACTGCATTTTGGCGGTTGAAGTTGATTAGGTAAGAGATTACTGGTGATTATTCGTGTTAGAAAGAATGGACAGACTTAGAAAGTCAAAGTGGTAGGCAGGCTTGTGAAAGAGTGACAGAGTGGGTTGGTGAGAGCAGGACAGAGTAGACAGACGGGAAGCGATGATCGCGGCCTAAATACAAGTTCACCTAAAGCACTGGGACAGAATACGAACGGTTGCACGGTTGACGAATAACACCCGAAAATGCCGAGTCCCAACCAGATGGCACGAACACAGAGATGGTTTCATCAATTAAGATTTCTCACTGTTCGCCGGTTCCCGAGTTCATCGCATGTAGGAAATGAGCTTCATTCTCACTTGTGGGGGCCATTGTCCTGTGGCTAATCACCGCGAACCTTAGCTTGGGGAATTGGCTTTTGACTTGACTGAACTCTGACTCTCAAAGCCTTACCCCTGTAAGGCGGACTGAACATGTGCACCCAGCGAGTCATTCGTCACGATGTGAGAAAGTTAATTATACAACATTGTGATTATGAGCTTCAATCTGTATTTGATTTCAATGCTGAGAAACGACTGTATCACCACTGAATCGACCATTTGGCTATCCCACCGCGCATCAATGGATGTGGAAAATATGTTGCTGATCGACTGAATGGTTGAAGCTATTATATGGACACAATATCTCGGACTTTGTAAGCGGCGCGGGTGGCTCGACTTGCCACGTTGTTCATCCCCACGCCGACCCACTGCGTTGTTGAAATTATCAGCGAGTACAAGAGTCTTCTTCTAGCAGGGGCCACATCATATCGATTTGCTACACGGTTTGTGCGGCTTGCTTGAGATGAACGGGCTGACGACCTTGCTTCATTGAGTCCCTGACTCGGCGGCAAAAGGCTTGTTCTTTCCCGCGCGCGCTAGGACTGTGAGTGTGAGCACTAGTCGCCTCGAGCGGTGACCGGAATTTGACGAGAGTAGGTGCGTTGCGATCAGTCGACTTGCGAGCTGTTACAAATTCAACCCGGCTGAAATTACAGCCGGCTCGGTTCTCACAGAGCAAGGCTTAGTAGTCTTAAACTTCATGTCACTGTCCGCGCGGCGCGCGGTGCGGGCCCCGGTCAATATTATTCGGCGCTAGCTCCCATTTTGCCTGAAGAATCGGTGACTTTATTGCTCCTGATAGTGGAGAGGAAGACGAGGCGAGCTTGGGGCACGACTTTGAATTTCTGCCCTGGGCATCTAACCGGCAGAAAGACGGCTTCTTTCTCTCCTAGCCTAAAAGAACAAAGTTGGACGGCAACGCCGACGTCGCGCAACTGCTCATGTGTTTCGAGATGAGAATTGGGTTAGCAGAGCGACTGGACAACGCAACGGATGGTGCAAAACTGGCAACTCTCCACGGTAACAATCATTGCCGAGTTCTGGCAGACGATGGCGCTTAGAGGATGTTTTTCGGACTTCAGTTGCCTTCTATAATCACCTTCTATGAGCAAGAATTGTCAGGTTCAGACCACACACTTTGGCTATAGCGTCCTTCTGCGGCGCGAGGTCAGAGAGACATAGAAAATGCGGTGAGATTGTCAGGAGTTGACCCATCAATTTCAAGACGGAAAGTTTCGGACCAGAGTATAATATCTATTGGTATTGTGGCTCTCCTAACAGAACTTGGCTACAACAGCATCGACCTAGCTAGAGAGCAGTGCAGTGTGCACGAGATGACTCTTAATGGCCTAAGAAATTAACCGTGATGGTTTTGACTGCAGCGTACATGCACCATATCCTTATGAGGCTGAAAGGTCGCAACAGCCCAAGCCCTACACATAGTTGCTGTATGGTTGTGTTGAAGTCTTGGGGGAAGAGTCTGGGGTAGACATACTCAGCTCTTGGCAACCGCCAAGTTAGTGCCATCAGTGTTACCCTGTGATTAACAGCAATCTTCATCGACAGGGCACTTGAAACTCGACCATCAAACTCCTCCATTGATGAGCAGGTTCCTCTTGGTGACATGGAGGAATCATCTTCCAGGTGCGAAGGCCTCTGCCGGGGTAGCTGATGCAAATTTAGAAAAAGATCTTCGCTTCGGGCTCTCTGGTTTATTCTAAGTCTACGATATCGTGCCTTTTATCGTCACGCAAAATCCGTGATATGCTAGAAGACATCTGCCCTGTCCCATACATTTCTAAGCCACCCCGTTCGATACTGCAAAAGAGACCTCTTCAGAAGCTGAACGCGATCTCGATCCCAGTACAAGAAGCCAAGCTGCCTCCATGCTTCAACGGTGGCTTTCACCCGATCCAACCGTGTGCTGTCTATACCCACGTGGTCTGGGGAATTTTGCAGCAACTCTGAGCCCCATCGGCGGCAATCTAAACCGGCGTGCGCGTCGACCCAAGCAAAAGGAGGGTCTGTTTTCAAGTCGCCAGTGGTGATTGCCGGTAGCCTTCTTTCGTAACCGTATAACACATCTCGCAGCCGTCTAATCTCATACTCATGGGACAAGAGCGTGTGAAGGGTCAGATCCAGCTGTGAGGATACCACTGGAAAGTACTCCAAAATGTAGTTGCTCGGCACTTGGTGACCTCCTCTGAGAATCTGATGATCTGAAAGGCACTTTAACTGTGTCAAAGAAGCCGCAAAGATCTTGATTGTTTCTTGGCCCATGGTGAGTGCACGGCTTAGTATATGTCTGAATGCCGTAATATCGTAGAAAACATGTGTATTTTGCGTGTCCAACTCATCTGAGGCATCAAGCGAGACGAAGAATTGATGTAGTTTGCCTGCAAAGTCGTGAATTCCAGCGATTTGCTCTATCTGGCAAGGCGTGAAGCATTGATTCAAAATTGCCCGTACTTCCATCGTTGTCTCTTCACTTACGCGGTCGCGACAAACTTGTGTAAGCAATTGATACCGCAAGCATGCAAGCACGAGCCGGTCTTCTTCATCTTTCGTGAGTGGCTTGGCTGCCTCTGAGTCCAAGGTCCATAATTGCTGTCGCTGAACTTCCGTGTACAGAGTGACAAAGTCCCGAGCTATAAAGTCGCATCGCGTAGCCTCGATCAAATGATCAGCAGATATGGATGATATGTCTGCTGTGCCTGCGTCGAGGTCTTCCCGAAATATCGCATATAGCTTGGTGGCGCTCACCACCTCCCATGCATGATTGTTGCCAGACTGACCAGCTCTTGGGATAACTGCAAGAGCCACAGCATCTTTGAGGACAGCAGCAGCATCGCGGTGAACAATATGTCGGATGACGCGCCGTCGTTCCGCTATGAAGAATCTCCGCAGCGACGAAGACGCATTGACAAGCGTATTTAAATCGCTCAAGGATTCGAGGAAAGAAATGATGCCCAGTAGTATATCTGCAGGCAGATTTTCGAGCGCACTTGGTGGTGGATCGTTGATCATGTTGCCGAAATTGCGTTGAGTATTTGCAGAGGCCAAGTCGCACGTAACTTTTCGCGGTCGGAAACTTACGGCTGCTCCTTTGTTCTGGCGCGGATGGCAATTATCCGAAGAGCCGAAAACATCCTATCGATGCACGTGCTACAAATTCGCGAGCTAGACAATCAAGCATTAATGCCGGGCTAACGCGTTTCACGTTGTTTGTAGTTCGCAAGATATCCACAAAAGGCAGTAGCGATAAGGAATGGGAAAAGCACTGGCATCGCTTCGAATAAGGAGAAGTTTGCGAGATTTATTACAGTATTCTAGTATCCTAACGAAAATCAAGCGAGAGTAGGCACAAATTAAGTTCAACCTACTGCTGGTTAGTTCCTCCTTTGCTACTAAGGGTCTCGAGGCATTCTATATATCTTGACAACTATAGAAATTAGTATGGAAATGCCTCGTTTCTTAAGGAACACACTCATGTCATTGTTGTTCTAAGATCGTTCTGCGCCAGGAAGTCTCGTGATAGGCACAGAGCGTTCGCGTCGTCACCTAGATGTAGATACTTCTCTAAATAGATTAAGAATCGCTCAGGATGTGTGTTCAGAAATACGGCATGACCGCTGGATGATTCTGTTAAAGCTAGGGACTTTGTTTCCTGAAATCTAGTCCTGAATCCGTTTAATCCATGTGAATATGAATCCTGACATGAAGCAATTCCATGCGATCAGATCTATTTCCTATGAGCCAGAGAGTTACATGATCAGGATGTGTGAACCTGAAATTATGTACTTATCGAACTCGTATGCCCAAAATCTACTCATCAGTAATTCTTTTGCCGGAACAGCCCGTACAGATTCGTTGATGAGTCTAGCAGTCTTACCACGAGGCAGTCAACAATCAAGATTGAAGCACCGCCCGTGATACATGTCATGTCATGGATGTAGGCTGTGTGGCAAACTCTGCTGATTCACATCAGACTCACCCTGCAAAACAACATAGGTGCTGCTTGCATTCAAAACTGAGTTTGCTGAATCATATCAGCAGATCATGATCTTAGTGAAAGATAAGGGATCGACGCCGTTTGACTGATGAGTCTACATGATGACCAATTCTACACATTCACTGGAGCAAGTCTGATCCTAGCCGCTTCCAATTTGCAGCTAAGTGTATATAAGTTGCAGACCTGACTAGACATTATTGACTCTCTCAAGCTTCATATTGTCTGAAGCTGCATGCGAGATCGCAAGGACAAAGAATTAGTCATTCAGGAATGCCCAAGATCAATGAAATCTGATCTCAAGCCGCACGTCTCACAATTCCATCGAAGTCAGATATAAGATTTACATCAAGCACCCATACTCAGAATAAAGGATGTGCCACAAATACTACTTCACTGGCGAGTCCGAATGCATGCACTTGGGTGTTTGCTTTCGAGACGAACAATGTCAACGTGTCAGGGATGGAGCAAGACCATGCCCACGAAACACCTGGGTTCACCAGTGGATGAACGGCGTCCTCCCGGTCGAGGGCTTTTGTCGCGATTGCCGCGGAGAAGGGCTGGAAGGAAATGATGTCGTTGAGAGACCAGAGCAAAGTCATAGACAGCGGCAAAGACGACGGGAACAACGACGGGAGGATCCTGAGCTGTCTGATGAAATGGAGGGAGTTTGAGGAAGTGGAAATACACTAGCGATGGTAGCTGTAATGCTGAGGCTGTCGAAATTTACTTCTAGTGTTGCTCAACAAGGCAGGTACGGCGAGCTGAATATCCAAGACAGAGTAATAGCGTCTCGTCATAACTTTCGGAGATGGCGAGTGATCTCTTTCGAGCTATTCACCTGCGTGAGAGGGTGAGGTTTAGGAAGGCGGTTATTAGCCATCATACGTCTGCTGCACGCCGAGACATTGGAGTGCCATTGGCGCGTCGCTCGCTCGCCTTATAGAGTAGGTGGCGAGGCTTCAGCTGGGCGGAACGCCGTCGGCATAGCTACCTTGCGGCGTGACACGCTGGGGCTGGAAGTGCGGCGTAGGGATCCCGATTGGGTGTAACGGCGAACTCGGCCGGATCTTACTCCGGATCCTCGATGTTGCATTGTTCCTCAAGTCGGGGATCTTGACTTTGGAAGTATATGGATACTCCAGGTAAGGCCAGGTCTTGGCGGCATCCGAGGCACGTCGTAACCGTTCATATCTCCGAAGTCTCAGGCCATCGGGATTGATGCCACCGGAGCATGAGATTGTGCGACGATGTCGTGGCCATCATCGTATTGAGGTAGGACGTCCTGGATTCGATAGAGCCCGATAGTATGTGATGTGATCCGGAACCCGAGTCACGAGTGTTCTAAGGCTACTCGCGGTTCATGACGGCGTTTTCGAGTGATCGTCGTGAAAGGAAGGTGAGGAAACCACACCACCAGCTGTTTGTCTTGGCAAAAGTGATCTCGCAGCAGTAAAGCGGTACTGCTGAAGAATCCTGGCAGAGATGAGAGCCAAGCATTTGTAGGTTCTTGGAATGCCGGTGGTTCCTGGCTGGGATCGTCGAGTGTGGCAGGTCGGTAGAAGCGGGGAGGCTAGAACTGGTTCTGCAGAGGATGCCACCATTCTTTGGCAAGAAATCGTGACTGCGGTTCCAAGGAGATGCCTAAACTGCCTTCCAGAAGGCCACTAGCTTTGAACCTTCCCAGTCTGTCCGGTTCAGAGCCGTACCTTGATGGTCACCTCCCCCTTTCAGCAAGCGATGCCATCGTGGGAATTTTGGTGGTGGAGGTTGGGCGGTAGCCTAACGCATGGCCCAACGGCGAGCACACTGGCAGTGTGTTGTGTGACATGACTATTTCGGTCAAGGCTGCTGTTGTAGCCCTCAAGCTATTGAATGACTGCAGCAGTGGTCAGTGCTGCGTAGCCTGTGGGTGTGTCCGAGTGCCTGTGTTATCAATAGCTGTAAAGCACTTGTGGTCCATCAATTGCTGGGTATGACGAAAGTCAATGTCGGTGCTCCGTAGACAAGCATCAGAAGGAAGAGCTTTTGATCCATCACCCCACATCAGACAAGATCTCGGCAGCGGCCCCGAGCCTAGGTAGGATACTGCTGTTCTGCCGCCGCGAGACTCGAGGGTGACAGGGGTGGTGGAAATGAAAGGCTTGAGACTCCGTTGTAGTACAGGAATTACTTGAGTTGATGTAGCGCCTGAATCTGTGCTGTTGCCTTTGATCCCGTCTTGGCTAGCCTGCAGGACAGTACAAGTCTGGAAGGACGTTGGAAGAGCGGAGTGCTAGCTGAGTTCCAGGGTCAAGAAGGTTTACGCGGATGGGATTTCGTAGCATGGAACGGCAAAACAACTAACTTGGGCACGCCGCATTGGAGAAGGTTGTGACGGTAGGATGACGGTTATGAAAGTTAAGCTTGATCACGAATGGAGATCATGGGGCTGGAATCTGGAATACTCAAGAGCTCGCTCCCCGCTTCTTACTTTACTGAATCGTGCGAAGCTTCAGAGTCCTGGCTGACAGGAAAGAGAGGCAAAGGCCAGAGGTGACATTCGGGGAGTTGCCATCCCACCATCTCCGCTCCGCAAGGGCAGGGGAATTGGATCATGTCAGCATCGCTAAAGCAGGAGGGCCCACTACCTTATCACGTTATCGGTGCCATGGGAAGACGCTCGGATCATAGGCTGCACCTACTACGGCTCGAGCCCCCACTTGCCGGCGGGAATTTCGGAGAGGCCCGCCTTGAGGTGGAAAAGCGGGTACCTTCAGAGCACGTACTCCGATACGTATACTGCAGCATGTGATTCACGGGGCTCCTACCGCTTCTAAGTACCAAGGTATCTTGTCTCTTGCCGCCCAGGATTCCTCTCTCTTTTTCCACCTCATAATGTCGCCGATCTACGGATACACTTATTCAATTTTGGTAGCAATTATTCAATGTTTGAGATATCTTGCCGAGCCACAAAATCATGTGGCGTTTCCGGCTACCAACGATGTGGGGTTCCACGACTCGTGAAGGCTTGGACTCACAGATGTCTCGGCCAACCCTATTCTGAGCTCTTCTTCGAACAAAGGTGCGGGTGGCTGCTGACGGCGTACAGGTGTTCCTCCTTTCAGGGATCTTGATCAGGAACCAGGGGTCTCCAACGAGCGATGTCCAGTCAGAAGCCTAGAACACACGCAGCGAACACTTCACTTGCTCGTCCAAGTATGGACGCGTTGATATGCGCTGATAATTGCGTTAAGGTCCAAAATCTCTGGCATGGACCTTTGGGAAGCCCAGCACAGGCCAGCCTCTGCCGAGATGTGCTGTAGACCAACCAGCTTATCTCAACACCCCAAAAGACCCTCCTCCGACCTAAAGAGGGTCAGAGCTCTCAAGAGCAAGAGAGCTTTCCTTGCGTGAGAAAGCTGCGGCCTTCGTTGCGTGCTTAATCAAGTTAGGGAGCTCTAGATCTGGAGTGAGGGGCTACGATGAGCTGCTTCAAGGATCTTCTGTTGTGGGTTGTCTTCCCCTCCTATCCAGAGTCTCCACAGGAGCTCTAATCCTTGACATTAACGTCTATTTCATTTGGCTCCCTGGCTCTGTTGGCATTTTGCATGCATTAAACAAGAATATGCGTCCAAGTCAACTCACCGCAATCAGGGTAGGGCACAACAGCGTGCCCCATGTCCATGCAACAGACAGCGGCGCGTACATTGCTGGCTTTTTGCAGCTGGCCTCTGAGAGCCATGGCAGTAGACGCGGAGGTCTACATGAATTCCGCCTCGGAAATGCTCTCCGACGGGCCACATACAACTACCTTAGCTGCCGGCTGCTTGGTCTGAGCCTGGCGCCAACATATCCGCCCTCGGCCGCCACATGCGATCCACCGTCGTGCAACGGACACTTCGCTCTAGAATCAACGATAGAAATGCAGCAATTCACTCATCGGTGGCACTTATCACGACTAATTCGCCATTTGCTACCTATCCTCCATCATCCTCTCCTGGGGTGCATTTTGGCAGCCCCCAATTCCCCCAGAACTTATCATCCCACCCCGATCGCCGACTGTCACGCTCCACGGTCAACTGCCGGATTAGGAAGGCGAGATATCTCACCTGGGGTAACATCGCCTTGACGCACGAGGATCAACCTTCCTTCGACGAACCACAGCTTCACTATGGCCTGCGATATCGTCTGCCACCCCGGACCCCCGATGCATCCATTTGAAGCTCAAGCCCTGTTTAGGGATGGAGATGGGGAGCAACAATGAAGGTGGTCCAAGTCTCCAAGATCTCATAGGTTGGAACTTTTGGGGTTGAGTGGGCGCTGAGGCCATCAACATCACCAACACCGACATTTACAACCTGCAAAGCGACCTCATACGCATCAGCTGCCATTAATTCGGGTCCATAGACTTTTTGTCTAGCATCAGGACAGAAAAGATGTCGTTTCTCGACCATCCTACAGGGGCCAGGCGCGAGAGCCCGGGAAACCACCGCATCCTGAATTTATGCATAAAAAAGCCTTGGCACTGCCGTTCCGAGGACCGTACCGGTCTTAGGACTGGACGTTGAGGTATATTGCTAATGGCCATTAGTATTCGACAACTCGATTTCATTGGTGGCTCTTGGCTCGGACAACTCTCGCCTTGTACTGCGCGAAGAATGGGACTGGAAGACCACTCCAATGGGCCGTCCAAATGCCGATGTTGTCCCCGCTGCATTTCCGTCCAACAGCGGCGCCCACAACAGCTGTTTGTCGAGCCTCTATCCGCTTCTCTCCCGTGCCCGCGGGACGCGTATCTCCACTATGCGATATTGATCCTCGAAATATTCGCTTCTTGTCTTGTAAGTCCTGGTATCGTTCAAAGCTTACTGGTTGTACCTAACCAGGTGACGACAGAGGGCTTGAGATGCCTGCAAAAGCTGTCGAACGCCCAATCTTAAAGTCACTTGCGACCATCTGATAGCTTTGTTGCATTGCCAAGCCGGTCTAGCATGCCTCCTCTCTCACCCAGCTTGCTGCATCACCAATATCGCCGTCAATCAACTTCCTATTTTTGATTTTGTCGCACAAGCTTCTGAGATGGCTGCTTTATGTCGCCACATGGCGCCATTGGTACTCTCCTTCCCCTTTCCGCGGACCATGTCGTCTTATCGACTTGGGTTCACTTGCTGTACAACCGCCAGCGTAACTTTTGGCGACATATCCAAGTTTGACAGGTTCATCCCGACTTGGACCCTGCGGCGATGGCTGTTTTCCGAGCAAGGGTCCGAATCATGTACGTACTGCTTCTCGAAGGGCGCCCCGGAACTCTGTCTGCAAGCAGTAATGCACCATCGAGGGCCTGGATGAGCCAGCCACTTACATGACATGCAACGGACGAACAACGAGCCTCACTCGATTTCAATGACGAGGAGGAAATCTATATAACGGCTTTCAACAACCCACGATATTCGGTCTCTTTTCACTCCTCACCCCTCATCCTCTCCTACAATCCCAACTCCAACTCCTGCATCTCGGTCTATCGACAGTCACAATGGTCGGTTTCAAGCAACTCGCGCTGCTCGCAGCTGCTACCTGCGGCTTCGCTGCTCCCACTCTCAAGGAGAGAGCTGCCGAGACCATGGTCCAGACCCGGGCTGAGAACAGCTACATCATCACCCTCAAGAGCTCCGTCGGCTCCCAGGGACTCACCTCTCACTTGAGCTGGGTCAACGATGTTCACTCCCGCAGCCTTGACAAGCGCCAGTTCACCGGCGCCGAGCGCACCTACTCCTTCAACTCCTTCCAGGGATACTCTGGCAAGTTCGACGATGCCACCATTGAGGCTATCAAGGCCAGCCCTGAGGTAAGATTCAAAGCTCCGGTGCATTGAAAGAGCCCACTCTGACACTACGAATAGGTCGCTGCCGTTGAGCGTGACGAGATCTACACTCTGAGCGCCCTTGTCACCCAGACTGGTGCTCCCTGGGGTCTCGGAACCATTTCCCACAAGACCTCCGGCTCTACCTCGTACATCTACGACAGCGCCGGCGGCACTGGCACCTTCGCCTACGTCGTCGACTCGGGCATCAACACCGCCCACACAAACTTCGGCGGCCGCGCCTCGCTCGGCTACAACGCCGCCGGCGGTGCCCACACCGACACCCTCGGCCACGGCACTCACGTTGCTGGCACCATCGGCTCCACCACCTACGGTGTCGCCAAGCTCACTTCCCTGATCTCCGTCAAGGTCTTCGTCGGTAACTCCGCCTCCACCTCTGTCATTCTCGACGGATACAACTGGGCCGTCAACGACATCACCACCAAGGGCCGCGCCGGCAAGTCCGTCATCAACATGTCCCTCGGCGGCCCCGCTTCCACCGCCTGGACCACCGCCATCAACGCCGCCTACAACTCCGGTGTCACCACCGTCGTCGCCGCTGGTAACGAGGCCCAGAACGCCGCCAACGTCTCCCCCGCCAACGCCGCCAACGCCATCACCGTCGGTGCCATCACCAGCACCTGGGCCATTGCTTCCTACTCCAACTACGGAACTTCCCTGGACATCTTCGCCCCCGGCAGCTCCATCCTGTCCACCTGGTACACCTCCACCACCGCCACCAACACCATCTCCGGTACCTCCATGGCTTCCCCCCACGTCGCCGGCCTTGTCAACTACCTCCAGTCCGTCGAGGGCCTCAGCACCCCCGCCTCCATCGTTGCCCGCATCAAGGCCCTTGGTACCTCTGGCAAGATCACCGGTACCCTCAACAGCTCCCCCAACCTGGTTGCCTACAACGGCAACGGCGCGTAAGCGGTTTCTCGTCAAGAGCCGACAAATTTCGTCAAACCGACCGAAAGCCAGCCGCGGGGGGCGAGAAGACGTTCCGCCCTTTCCGACGGCCAAGAGCGTTTCGCAGCTCGCTCACCTTTGTACATGAAGGAGTTGGGATTCCCTCATCAGAGATGAGCGGGGGAGCGCTGTTTCTTACGATGGAATGAGGATGTTTATAAGACTTCGCTGCCTTGGGTTTTGGACCTTGGCTCTCCCATTTTTGAGATTTGTAGGTGTCATTTTGGGCATATATAGTTGATAGGGCAATAAAGAAGATGCATCTGAAAGTAACTTTCCAAGTTGGCATTGTGATTTGAAGCCGAATGTACATCAATTGAGGTCATCACTGCAAGGGTGATCACTGATCAGAGCGACAAGCTTCGTCGTCTAGACTCACACCTCTTAGCGAACGGGATCCTTACTCAATGGGGTATTAATATCAATTGCATCTGACCCGCCCGCCACAGCCTAGACTCTGGAGAATCGCGATCCTTGACCGGCATTTCTTCCCTGTAATCTCGTATTCTGAGTCTTGGCAGTTGTCATCTCTTTTGCAGTGTACCTAACGCTCTATGGTAGGATGTCATGCGAATGAGTAGCTGGTTCAAGTGGTGGAGATGCAATGCGACGACTTTAATATCATCCGGGGAGGGCGCTGGGTAAGGGTTCTCGCGGGGAAATAAGGATCGTCTCCCCCAGGTTCAAGGACTCGGGGTACCCTGGGGCTTGGTACTGTGCCCCGACTCCCACTCTCCTACCATACTCCGCGCCGATCAGCAGAGCATACATGACAGGACCAAATATCCGGGCCCCTTTGACAGACGGAGTCATTCAGCAAATCATCAGGCTTCGTGGCTTGGCGTGGGTTGAGTTGATTTGCTTGATGAATTGAGGTTTTGCGTGCGCACATAATCGCAGCTGGGGATGTGCCTTTTTGAACACTTAATTTGCCTTTTTCCCATTGAAAGCGATTATCTCAGAACGAGATTTAACGTAAAACCATCTGGTTCATCAGAAGCAAGTCGGTGTTAATTTCGTTACTCTTGTGGAGATCAACTCCGCCACGTATGAGACCACGTCGACTCATGTGTAAGTGGGATAGCCCACAATAATAAGTTGTCCGGGACCACATGTGTCTTAATGTACCCAAAAGACTCATACTCATATCAGCAAATAAACCCCGGTGTATCAGCCTTCAGTGCGAGAATACTTGGAAACGATTTTCAGTCCTACGTTGTCCCCATACTCCCCCAATGTCCCCGGCCGCCTTAACCCCGTCAGATGTCATCCGACATCAGCCTCTGACAGAATGACCTTGAAACAAAACCTTCTTATATTGACAACATCTGCGCAGGCTAGTGATGCTATGTTTGTTGTGAAAGTGACCTTCCCTCGTGAGTGACGAATTGGAACAAGAGCTAAAACTGCAATGTACCGGAGACTATTAAACTTGCGGATGCGATTCTTCTTATCAGTGTCTTTAGTGGTTCTGGTGAAAAATCAACACGGATGACCTCTATGCTGCCGGGATTCGAATAGATTTCAGGTATATCAATATGTGGTAGCTTACTATCAGACTGTCAGTTTTACAAATCGTGATTACAGTCTTTGAATGACTGGCTTGAAGTGAGAATACGCGTAACGGGAGCAGGCATGTCGCTAAATATTTCTGCCGCTCCGGTTCCCTGTCACACATACATTAGTTGAATGACTCAAACACGTCCTCCAATCCACTTCGCAAAGGATATCTGCCGATCAAGCTATGTTCATATTATCTTGCCAAGAATACCAACAGGCATGTCGGTACCGCGGAGTTGGGCCCGTTGACGCCGTACTGAGCTCACTCAACCCAGAAAGGAAGTTTGATCCAGCCCCCACTGCGATTGCAGTTCCAAGATGAAGGCACTCGGTCTGGCTCAAGTTTTCTCCAGATGGCCATTAGTTCGAAGGAGTGCCACCTGCATACGAAGGAGAGAAATCAGACGAAGTTGGCTCTCATTTCCTTGTTGTACATACATGTACGAAGCCGTGTTCGTAATCTTTGGACACTACCACAAACAGTAGCCGTCAAGCACGAATAGTGCCTGCGGTCTGGCCACTCAGCAGCACTCCTAATCTTGCATTCTCTGTGGACCTGATGATTTGAGGCATTGTTTGCTCTGGCGGACAGCCCCGGTAGCCAGGAGTTTAAGTTTCGGACAACACGAGTCAATGTGAGAAGGAAGACTCTACTAAATCATGTCAGCAGATTCATATGCGCAGGTGAGCCAGGCTGCTCGTTATGGAGCGAATGTGAGATGAGTACTATTCGGCAAATCCGATCGATTGCCAAACGCCGCAACCATCGACAACAGAGCTGTTGGCGAAGGTTAAATAGAGACGGTTCGCGCTGTTACTGAACTTGAATCTCACTGTAGCCTACCATCATCCCCAGAAACAAGAGCCTCACTTCAAGTCACTCATTCAAATAATCGTCACCATGCTCTTCCAGCCTTCTCAAGTCTTTGTTCTTGCCCTCGGGCTTCTGTCTGCCACTGCCACTGCCGCGCCTACTGAGGTGGTGGAGCCTCGTGCTGAGGTCCTCGACATCGGTGCTTGCTACAGCTCCAAGTTCACTTGCGCCTTCCAGGGATGTCTTGCTGGATACACTTGCTCTCAGCACACCGGAGGTACTGACTACTGCTGCGTCAAGTGGGGTTGTAAGTGATTGTGTCTCTAAATATAATCAAACAAACATGCTAACAAGTAGTAGAAACTACTCGCTCTACCTTACAAATAGCTGTCACTTTCCATCGATCACCTAATCTGTTCGGCTTTGGACGCGGTCCGGATTCGATTCCAACGATAGGATGGGAATAGTTGTCTATGATTGTTTCATCTACTCAGATTTGACAGAATAATTTTACACTTCATCACCAAAGCATCGGCGTCATAAACCAAGATCGCAACCGCAAGCAAATTTGACCCATTCTGTTTTAACTTTGATGTCATTTTGCCATTCTGTGGTTTGATACACACACCTATGCGTAACTTCCCATCGAATTACTTAAGGTCTTGCAATATCTCTGCCCGCTAGCCAGATGAACAACCAGCTTATTGAGATCATGATCTTCCTCCTCCAGCTCCTCGTCCAGCCTAGACTTCCGGAACGCCAAGCCAACCACGCGCTCATCCCCGTCCACTCCTGCTTACCACCAATGATACCGTCGTGGCGGCCTAGGTAGGCCAAGAGTGCTCTCTGCTTGTAGTTGAAAGGAACAGGATCGGCATTCGAGTTGAGAATGGTCGTGAGATACTCGCCTTTTTGCAAAGCTACCTCAGCCAGAGTGGGTAACGACTCGCCCTCAATATCAGCGGCGTCGCCGAGCGCGTAAACATCGCTCATTGGACTTCCATCTGGATGTAAGACGCGAAGATACTTGTCAGTCAAGATGCGAGGCAGACCGCTCTCTGGCTTTTTGACAGGCAGCTTCTCAACCAAGGTGCTTGCCTTATTGCCCGTAGCCCAAATCAGCAGTCCGTACGGCAAACGCCCGTCCTCCTTCGTGAAGATCGCATCGGCTTCAACACTCTGAATGTGTGACCCGGTCTTGATCTTGACATGCTTCCCTTGCAACGAACTCGTAGCGTATTCGCTCAAGTTTGCGTCAAAAGTGGACAAAATCTTGGGCGCGACGTCGTGAATGGTGATGGTCACCTTACCATCGAGGTGAGGAAACAGAAAACGCATATCTTCAAACCAGAGGTCCCATAGCTCAGCGGCAGCCTCAATACCAATAGCTCCGCCGCCGACAATTCGAATGTTGAGATAGTCTAGCTGATCTTGTTCGCTTGTCGTTGGAAGAGACGCCTTATCGAGCATTTGGAGAATGCGCTGCTGGATCAAGCGGGCATCATTGGTTGTCTTCAGAAAAAGAGCGTGCTCTTTCGCGCCCGGTGTGCCGAAGTCCTGAGTACCGCATCCAGGCGCTATGCAGATCTTGTCGTACCTCACTTCAAAGGTAGTCGGGGCTTCGCCTGCGGTGGGTGCATCAGTCTTGCATCGGACTATCCGCTTTTCAAAGTCGATGTCTTCCGCAAAAGCCTTGTAGTAGTCCATTTCCGTCCTGTGCTTCCGCCTGACCGGCTCTTCCGCAAGACGGAAGTTGAATAGCCCGCATGCCGCGCTGGCCAGCAAGGGAGTGTACTGGATTGTTCGAATTGGCGAGATGACCTTGATATCGTATTTCGCTAGGTCGACTTTTTGAGTGAGGGTGAACCCACCCCAGCCGGTACCAATGACGACGAGGACTGGTTTTGACATGTTGAACTGTGATGCTCTATCCACAGGTCTGAACTGCAGCACTGCTTCCTCGCGCAATGTGATCTTTGACCGACTTCTTATGGTTTTCTCAATCCTTGCTTCACTTGGAACGAAATTATTAACCTTACGTCACGGGTCCCAAACCATCAGCGTGCGGCATGGCAGTTGCGCTTTCGCGGGCTCTTCGGGCAGGGAACGTCATCGATTTTCGGAGACCAAGGAATGTAGCATCGCCTGGCTGGGGGGAAGCTCGGAGGTTTGACACCTTGGTTCGGCAAGATATGACTGGCTGGAGCTGGCTGCCGTAGCTTGGTCCGAACCTAGACAGATGCCGGGAGATCTCCGCGTTCCACCCGGGCCCACTTCTTCGGCTGGATTGGTCCGGTCGATGATGGACGGGGTCCAGGGTTCGTCTAGAAGCCGACTTTCACAGACATACTGTTGCATGGGCTGCTTGAAGGTTTGTCGAGATTGCGGGGAAGCTTTCTTGTCAGCTTGGCAAATTTTCCGGTCAGGCGTCTTTAATGGTGGTGATTTGATGATTGAGAAAACTTGCTACAGTCAAGTCGAGACTGTACAATGTCCGTGTTTGTAGACCTTCTCCTTGCGGACGGGATTACCGGATGTATGAATCCAACTTTTCTAAGCCATGCAACGCAGCACATTCCCACATTGGATCACAACAGGGTCACGGCAACATGTTAGTCTGCAGAAAAAAGCACAATTTGCTTGTTGATAGTACTGCGCTGAAGGTGCGTGAAACAACGTCCTTCGGTCCGTTTTGCTAAAGATGAAGGCAACAGGCTAACGTTACCAGCGTCGAAAAAATCTACATTGTCCCTGTTGTTTTCGTAATATCTGTACTTCATATGCTGCTAGCACAACAACAATGTTGAATCCAAGCTAAGCGAAGTGAGGAAGCAACTCGCTGGCACTAAACACAGCCGATAGTTTCTCTATGTAAGTCGGCTTGAGAATATTGTCGGCATGCAGATCATCTTGTGTCCAAAGAGCATGAAGTAACTTCTTGATAGAATGAAGTTCGCGATCAGGAAGAGTCTTCTCCGCGTTGGAAACCAGATTCAAGATGCGAAGCCTTTCCTCGTCGGTACGCGCTTCACATCCGAATATGAGAAGCGGCAACGGTCTCTCACAGGTGCCCATCAAAGGGAGGAGCTGTAGTCCTCGTTCGACCAAGGCAGCTACGCCAGAATCCTCTCGCTCGCCTTGGTCGGTAGTGCGACTTAGGTACACCAGTGTTGAAAGTCGATATACTTCAGACTTCGCGGCGATCCTCTCCGACTTCAGATCCGCGAGGCTGTACGATGCTGTTACCCGCAAGCTCTCGATTTCCGCTTTGAGTGTTCTGATCTTGCATCGATACTCCTGTGTGTGGGTCTCGGGATTGTCGGATGGTAGAATTTCCGCAACCACCTCGGAGAGAAGACCCAACGGCTGGAAGAATCGCTTACTTTCCAACGATGCTTGGCCCATGATCATCGAAAGCTCAACACGGGCTTTCTTCCTCATCTCTGGCGAAGTGAACGGCCTTGTGTCGCAAATTACCTGACTTGGTAGCAGCGCTTTGGGTTTCCTCCAATGGCGAAGGCTGAATCGAGCTAATATCTCATGATATGATACCCACTCCAGCAACATGGGGGCGTCTGAGACCCTCCAAAATTTCTCAAGCGAGACACTTTCGATGAGAGTTCGCGAAGAACGTAGATAGCAAAGCCAATGGTTTGTTGAATGCGAGCTCTTTTGGGTCTGTAAGAATAGTGAGTGAGAATATTCCAGAATTCCTTTTGCAGCATAACAGCATATGATCTTCACAGACCTTCTGCATAGGTTAGAATACAAGAGAATCATAACATACCTCAAACATGCAAAGAACCATCCCAGCTGCTACGTGTTGAACAGCTTTGTGGGCAGACATGCCTTCAGCAGCTGACAGAGACAGAGCACGCAAGGCCGATAGTTTCAGCTCCTCGGCACGGAATACCGGTCCATACCGATACTGTGCTGAAAATGCAAGCAACGCGTGCTGCAAGGCTTTGCCAGCATGGGAGATTTCCGACAGGGCAATCCGAAGCAATGCTTCTCCTAGGGGTTGACTACTGAAACTTGAAAGATTCGGTCTCAGGGTCTCTCGAACTGAAAAAAAGAGTGAGCCACCGTCAGGCATGCCGCTCTGAGAGGGAGTTCTGAATTCTTATGCTTACAGAAACGGAAAAGGCTTTGGTCGGTGGCATTTGATCCGGACGAGGACCATGGCAGTGGATACTTCATGATGGGACGTATCATGCGCCTAGCAATAAGGAAGTTGTGTACTTCGATGTCCCATGAGGTCGCGTTGATCATATGTAATCGACCTGAAGTATTATTGACCCGAGGGAATAATGCGGCTCGGCTGATAAGTGACCTCTTGCCATCAGTAGCCCTTGGCCAGGACAATCGAAGCCCGTAGCCCTGGCATTTGCGGTTGGATTTGATGCAGTTCGTACAGCGTGGAAACCGGCGGTCACAACTGACTTTGCGATCTGCCGAAACCGTCAATACTCAGAGTGCCTACTAATCAGAGTGCCTACTAATCAGAGCTCTCTGCATAATATGAGCGGACAATGGAGGGAAATGCGTCCAGACGGTTCATTTTGGTGCTCAGAACCAATCGAGTTTAGCGTACCTATGCAAGTTCCACAGCGCTTTTTCGACGATGTTGCGGCAGCCGCATCCCTTGAGTTTGTCATGTTTTTCGTATCGTCGAGAGAATGAGGTGATCCCGAATCGAGAAGAGGAATATGATCACAGACTCATTCGCAAAAAGTTGCTTGCTGACTGGTTTCTAGATAGATCATTCAGAAAGGACGAAGCTGACCACTGTTCGCTTTTGATTTCTAAGCGGGCGAGACGGCGTTGTCTCAGGGGTCGAAGATGCACGCCATCTTAGTGCAATTCACCAGGGTAGACGCTAGGGAACTTCCGACTGACGATTTTACTGGGCAACTTTTTGCGAAGGATGCTCACCCTAGCGTCTCAACAAACTAGCCAATGAAATTTGCATGGGGAACATAAGCACCGAAGAGTGTGTGCATCTTTTTGCGAGACGCAATGGTAGCAGTTCTCCTAGCGTCACTGTGCATGCGATTGCTTACTCATGCGATCTAGAATTCGATGATGATCCCAGAAATTCTCTCCACGTTTCGGGCGGGTGTGCATCTCTCATTACGAGATGTGCAATAACTGTGGAAACCTTCGCCTTCACGAGCGTCAGCAACTCCCAATGATGTGGCGCCGGGTTGGAGAAACCCTCTGATAGCGTCCAGGGTAATGTGGAAAGTGTCCTTCCAGCCTGCATAATTTCGTTGGAAGTTGCACTCGTTTTGGGCAAGGCCCAATCACATTACTCATTCCATGCTCGAAGTCGGGAGGGGCACGGAAACCGAACATACGAGATTGAAGAGGATACGTGTGTATATTAACTGCCATGATGCCTCTGTGCTTCTTATCATTTGGGCTCATCACATCAACTACGCCAGCAGATTCAGCATTCAACCTC